CTTCAATGCTTCAATACTTCAATGCTTCAATATTTCAATGTTTCAATAATTCAATGCTTCAATGCTTCAATACTTCAATGCTTCAATACTTCAATACTTCAATGCTTCAATGCTTCAATACTTCAATGTTTCAATACTTCAATGCTTCAATATTTCAATGTTTCAATAATTCAATGTTTCAATGCTTCAATACTTCAGTACTTCAATACTTCAAAACAACGCTTACAAACCAGTCTGGCAGATTGTTTAATAAATGACCTGGGTTGACTCCAAACATTAGAGGAGAGTTCGATGATAGTTCCCTTTGAACTAGGAACACCCCAGTATAAGCTTTCAGGTCAGTCCACTGCGTAATTAAATATCTGAGTGCTATGATGTTCTTTCACAGAAGCAAACATCCAAACAGCATGCCAAAGGACAAGTGTCCATCCTGCATGTCAACATGCTCAAGGATGATTATGATGACACGTTTGATGTATCAGCTGCATAAAATCAGCATGTGTTGCAACAAACATGCACAGGCCCAAACCTGTCTGCAAACTTTGTCGCTCTTCACTTTATACATTAAATCAAGCTGCACCAGCAGAAGCCGAGCACCACTGCCCTGCTGCAGATTAACATCTAAATATTCCTGCTGCCTCAGTAACCTGTCCTAACCTGAGAGAAAGGCAACACAACTGGATTCAAAGAAAAGCAAATATGAATATAAACAGACAGACATATGGTTAGGTACCAGAGCATCCAGGTAATAATGGCTGCACAGATGGGTTTTATTGTCTTTACCAGTATGTATCCATGTCAGGCCTAATTATAGGAATAGTTTGGTCATGCACATAGAAAATAATGTCTTCTAATTACTCTTAGGCATGCATTTTTATAAACAACACACAAACTAAAGTATTTAAAGTATTGTATAAGTAGACCAAAATGGGTGTAGTTTCCAACTTTTTAGTTAATAATATTTTTTCAAAAATGTTTTTTTAACGCAAATTAAAGCACTCATTTGAGTAAAAAGCCTGTTCAGTTTTGGTACAACATATAATGTATACCAAACTAGTACACTGTGGTCAATGATAGTATAATTTATGACTTTTACAAATATAATGAATAAATAAAGTCTCTGAAATATCATCAGATTAGAACCAAAACCTAAAACTTTATTGCAGGTTCATGTGATTGTAAGTGTGATACAGGCCTCTTTAAAGCTTCTGACAGTAAGACCATATCCAGCTGTTATAACACTGACCATGGTCCTCCTGCACATAATACCCCCAGTCACCCACAAACATGCACACAAGCTGAGATCTGAACCCAAAATAATGCTTCTCTACTCCCTGCCAGATCACCCAACACCTGCCGAGAGGCTTTTCTGAGAAAACGGTCTGAACGGATTGCACGGTCCGCTTGATACCAAAAAGACAGAGGGGGGAGTAACCTGGCCACCTGCTAGGGGTTTCTGACCCCGGTGATAAAACCTGCAGGAGCTATGAGGCCTGGAAGTGTAGGGGCTCAGGGGTTGACCTTAATGTGAATGTGGGACAGAGGTAAAGGGGTGTTTTATGGGTTATAAGGAGTGGACTTACTGTACACAGATGTAGGTCAAGCCTTGGGGTTTTCTAATGCTTCCATTGAGAGCTTCTGGAGTATGAAAGTGATATTTTTCATTTACATATTTATTTTGAATATTCAAGAAAGTTTTCAGTTTAACTTTTGGTTTTGGCTACAATAAAGTCCCATTTTAAAACTCTTGTTCAATCTAAAACAGCCATATTGGAATAATGAATTACAGATTTTATGGGTAAATCTCCGCAGGGCAGAGAAGAAATACTTAAGATGTAAAGAACAAATGTTAAAAAGAGAATTGCACAACATATTTAAATGTTGCCAAGYAGAGTTTGACAAAAAACTCAGATTTCACAAAAGGCGTTTTAAAAGAGGGAAAGCATTACAATTAGAGCAGTTACAAAATAGTAGTCCACAAGTGTTCTGGAAAGAAATAAATAAGTTGGGTCCCAGAAGAAATAAACTTATCCCATTTGAAGTTGTTGGTGAAAATGGGGAATCTATAATTGGGATTGATCAGGTGTTGAATAGATGGGAGGCAGATTACAGTTGCCTTTATGCATGTTCTAGTTCACATTTGTTTGATGAAAATATAACTAAGGCTGTGGATCAAAAAAATACTGTGTTACTG